ATGAGTATCAATCAGCTCTACAAATAAGAGATATTAGGCGATAATATTTTTCTTGTACGACCAACAGTGTCAGAACAAGAGAGAAATCATGGTTCTTTGGAGCTACACTACTAAATATGTGCTAATTATGTGTGACGTTAACGTGTGTTTGTGGACACGCATTCCCAGTTGCCGATGGCAATTAATAATATTTTACATTAAACTACTGTGAATGATATGCACTATGGTCAAAATGACTTACATTAAATTGTACATTACACTCAATATGGTCAGAGAAATGAACTGTTTCTGCCATCAGAAAATCATAATTACATTAAACTGTACATTACACTCAATATGGTCAGAGAAATGAACTGTTTCTGCCATCAGAAAATCATAATTACATTAAACTGTACATTACACTCAATATGGTCAGAGAAATGAACTGTTTCTGCCATCAGAAAATCATAATTAAAATGACAGTAAGAAAAGAGGAAGAGTTTTTAGAAATTTTAAATACGGTGTACATATTTTTTTATTTTTCAAGGCCTGGAATTGTGATTTTGAAATTCTGGGAATTGCAGGCTGTGTAATAACTCTAAAAGACTGGTTTAATTGAGTTGCATATAAGTTATAAAATGCTTACATGTTTGATCAGTTCTGACTCTGATAACTGCACTCTTTGGTCCATCTCCCGCAGCATTGAAACCCAATACTTGTATTTTGTAATTGGTATAACTCACTAGTTGATCCAACAATACCTCTGTCAACTCAACTCCAACAGGTCTCATCATCTGGTGTTCATTGTCAATGTTGTCTCCTTCATCACTAACTTTCCAATAAAAGATCTACACATAATAACAGACAATTTATGAAATGTATACCTGGAACTACAAATATTAAATTAATAAATACAGAAGGTACAATGACTTTTGTAGAAGTGAACATTTTATTTGGGATCTTTAAGACAGTGAGTGACAATGACTTATGAAGATGCAAAGATTTGACAGTGACTCACAGTGGATTTTATGGCAGTGTTATTTCAATGGGATCTTTAAGACAGTCAGTGACAATGACTTTTGAAGAAGCGAAGATTTGACAGTGACTTTTATGGCAGTGTTATTTCAATGGGATCTTTAAGACAGTCAGTGACAATGACTTTTGAAGATGCAAAGATTTGACAGTGACTCACAGTGGATTTTATGGCAGTGTTATTTCAATGAGATCTTTAAGACAGTCAGTGACAATGACTTTTGAAGATGCAAAGATTTGACAGTGATTCACAGTGGATTTTATAGCAGTGTTATTTCAGTGGGATCTTTAAAACAGTCAGTGACAATGACTTTTGAAGATGCAAAGATTTGACAGTGACTCACAGTGGATTTTATGGCAGTGTTATTTTAATGAGATCTTTAAGACAGTCAGTGACAATGACTTTTGAAGATGCAAAGATTTGACAGTGATTCACAGTGGATTTTATGGCAGTGTTATTTCAATGGGATCTTTAAGACAGTCAGTGACAATGACTTTTGAAGAAGTGAAGATTTGACAGTGATTCACAGTGGATTTTATGGCAGTGTTATTTCAGTGGGATCTTTAAGACAGTCAGTGACAATGACTTTTGAAGAAGTGAAGATTTGACAGTGACTCACAGTGGATTTTATAGCAGTGTTATTTCAATGAGATCTTTAAGACAGTCAGTGACAATGACTTTTGAAGAAGTGAAGATTTGACAGTGACTCACAGTGGATTTTATGGCAGTGTTATTTCAGTGGGATCTTTAAGACAGTCAGTGACAATGACTTTTGAAGAAGTGAAGATTTGACAGTGATTCACAGTGGATTTTATGGCAGTGTTATTTCAGTGGGATCTTTAAGACAGTGAGTATGAATGACTACAGTGAAATTCTATCTCCAAAAATGCCTTCAAATTATAATATAAACAAGCAGCCTGTCGGCTGAGATAGCTCCGCTGTTAGCAATGCACATTTCAATTAAAGAACTGAAGATATCATTAGAAAATGAACAATATGTATAGTATCAAAGCAAATGACCTTGCTGTTCTCAACAAGAATTCAAAAATATCACTTTTCACCAAAAATGACAAAAATAATCATCAAAATTAAGTAATTGAAGATATCACCACATGTAATACCTATATAAGTAATATAAAAGCAATCAGACTTGCGGTTTTTAACAAGAAGTCGAAAATCTCACTTTTTACCAAAAATGACAAAAATATTCACCAAAATTAAAGATATCATTACAAAATGAACAAATCTGAGAGAGGTCCACATGTAGTACCCATGTATGTAATATAAAAGCAATTGGACTTGCAGTTTTCAACAACAAATTGAAAATATCACTTTTTACCAAAAATGACAAAAATATTCACCAAAATTAGAGAATTAAAGATATCATTACAAAATGAACAAATCTGAGAGAGGTCTACATGTAGTACATATACATGTAATATCAAAGCAATTGGACTTGTGGTTTTTAACAAGAAGTTGAAAATATCACTTTTTACCAAAAATGACAAAAATATTCACCCAAATAAAAGAATTGAAGATATCATTACAAAATGAACAAATCTGAGAGAGTTCTACATGTAGTACCTATATATGTAATATCAAAGCAATTGGACTTGCGGTTTTTAACAAGAAGTCGAAAATATCACTTTTTACTAAAAATGACAAAAATATTCACCAAAATTAGAGAATTAAAGATATCATTACAAAATGAACAAATCTGAGAGAGGTTTACCCAAGGTACATATACACCAAGTATCAAAGCATTCAGGCTTGTAGTTTTCAAGAAGAAGTAAAACAAGCAGCCTATCGGCTGAGATAGCTCCGCTGTTAGCAATGCACATTTCAATTAAAGAACTGAAGACATGATTAGAAAATGAACAATATGAATAGTATCAAAGCAATCAGACTTACAGTTTTTAACAAGAAGTCGAAAATATCACTTTTTACCAAAAAATTACAAAAATATTCACCAAAATAAATTAATTAGAGAATTGAAGATATCATCACAAAACGAACAAATCTGAGAGAGGTCCACATGTAGTACCTATATATGTAATATCAAAGCAATCGGACTTACAGTTTTCAACAAGAAGTCGAAAATATCACTTTTTACCAAAAATGACAAAAATATTCACCAAAATTAGAGAACTGAAGATATCATCACAAAATGAACAAATCTGAGAAAGGTCTACATGTAGTATCTATATATGTAATATCAAAGCAATTGAACTATTGGTTTTTAACAAGAAGTTGAAAATATCACTTTTTACCAAAAATTACAAAAATATTCACCAAAATTAGAGAATTGAAGATATCATCACAAAATAAACAAATCTGAGAGAGGTCCACATGTAGTA